CGTTCTCTATCTCGCTCGTCTATATCTTATCGGTAGAGGAATTCGCGATGTTAAAACCATACTCTCCATCTCCCTCTCGCGCATACGCAGCTTTTTTTTTTAAAAAAAAATATATATATATATTTTCGCAAACCTGCAACTCGCCCGGTAGCTCCACTTCGATCCAATTCCCGTCGTCATCATCACCCTCGCCTCGAGCAACAAACAGTGCTCACCGGCGAGTTCCCTTCCCCTTCGCTGCCGCTCCATAGCTACAACCACCGCCCGAGAGCCATAGCAGCATCTTGTCATCATCACCTCCGTCGGGTCCCGTCGAGTCCCGTAGTAGTGCCGAACGTGGCCGTCGATTCCCGTCGAGTTCCGTCGGAGTTCCAAGCGTAGCCGTAGAGTCCCGTCAAGTTCCGATGAGCCTCCATTCATTCCGTTCGTTCGACCTGTTTTTCTGATTTCTCGTGAATTTCCCAAAGACGGGTAATCCTTCTCGAACCTCCTTATTATTTCGTTCGTACTTGTGTTTATCGTTCGAATAATGTCATGCTCGTTGAATCGTTCCTTGTCGGATTGTTTATCGGTTTCGATTTAATATTTCGTATGTTTGTTGTGATCGTGAATTTAACGTGGATTATTGGACTCTCGTTCATAAAATTCGAACTCTATTTATTGCTGCTGTTATTACTCGTGAATTTCAGATTCCCATTTTGTTGTTTTCAGAAGTCTCGTATTACTTACCCGAGCCGTCGTCTTGTTGTTGTCGGTCGTATAGCTTTCGAGTCGTTATATGTCATTTCGTTTCCCGAACAAACCGGTTGCGTTATATATATTTTCGGTCTCTCTAAATTGTTGTTTTCGTAAAATTATTTACTTCTCAAAATGAGTCGATTCTCATTCTAGCAGATTTGTACGATTTTCCTAGTTTCTGCAAATTCCCGAGCTCTGTTTCCCAAAGTTTCAGTAGCAGGTTTTTGTTCTTATTCATTTTCTAAAATTTGCTATGTAAGTCTCAAATAGCCTTGTAGTCCAGCGGGTTATGTGCGCAAATCCTTGCTTGAGGTCTAGTGTTCGATCCTCGTCCTTGAGCATTTTTTTTGGCCCTATTTTCCCAGCAGCGCGGGCTGTGAAGCCCGCTAGCGGCCCGCGCGCAGCCCGTTTAGTCTCAGCCTTCCCAGCCCGCGAACAGCCCAAAGGCCCGCACCCCTTGCACCCTTAACAGGCTTTCAGCGGCCAAGTTTAGTGGGCCAGGTACTCTTCAAGGCCCAATGTGGGGCAGTCTTGGGCCAGATTATTCCAACTCGGCCCAATTCAAATTTTGAGCCTATTTTGTGTTTCGGAGTCCGTTTTTCGTACCGATTTCAATTTTAAAAATATTTTTAAAATGATAAAATTTTGGGAAAAATTATTTTTAAGTCCCGAGACTTCAAATTAATTTTCGAGTCCTATTTTGTAAAAAAATGAGAGAGTTCCAAGTCCACGAAAAATTCGATTAAAACCCTTAAGTCTTAATTTTTATTAAGTATGGGTTTTGTGTTAAACTCGAGTAGTGAGATAGATTATTGATAAATTATCTCGCTTAAATGTAGGTATTTGAGGAGTCGAGCCTCGACCTACGTACTTGCTTTTGTGTGATATTCTCCCTCGATTTCCAGGTGGGTTTATTTATAAAATTGTCTATGCTTGAATAGTGAAATTGTTTGCTTACTTGGGTATGATCAAAGTATGAAATGTGTATGTGTAACTTTCGGCGTGAGCTTTACCGGCCCTCGAACGTATCCCCGTTGTTATAGAACGTACCCCGAGTGGGTAATCTCCTCTTGTGATGGATTTCCTACCTAAAACTCTCGGGGTTGGCAAACCTGTCTAATACCCTCGGGGTTGACAGTGGATTTCCCGTCTAAAACCCTCGGGGTTGACAGATGATTCTCCTACTTTGGCAACGTTAGAGTTCCCGCGAGGAGACGATACGTGGACCAAATGTAGTCTATTCTGATAGGTGTGCACATGAGATATGTAATGGACTCTGGATAGGAGATGGGAAAAATTTGATTGTCTATGTTCATACTTGTGACCATGCCATATTTACTTTCTGTACCCATTTTATATAACTGTTCATTGCATAGTGGTGAGCACAACGGATTCCATCTGTGCTCATCCTCACCTGCTCTTCATGGATGCA